TGAAGGTTGGCCTGGGCACCACTGACAGAGCCAAGCATGATGGCAAGAGCCTGTGGTCCTAGCTGACAGGTCAAGGAAGAAGAACAAGACCTTGTCTAGGAAAAAATAAAAAGATACAGGGATAGCAATCACTACAAAATTGAGTTATTTTAAGAAGTAAATGAAGGCTCAGGGCAGGGGACTCCGGGCGGTGATCTGGAAGAGGCAGGGTTTCTCCTGCTCCGGGCCTGTCTGCTACGCGGCGGAGGCAAGGTGGTTCCCGGAGCCCCGAGGCTGGATGAGAAGTGACTAAGAAGTGCCCAGAAGCCAACCATGGATCCACCTGCTCATAAAGAGAAACCCAAAGTTAAAGAACCTGTGAGCAGAGTTGAGAAAGCTAAGCAGAAGTCAGACCAGCAGGAGCTGAAGCAAAGACAAAAAGCAGAGATCTACGCCCTCAACAGAGCCATGACAGAGCTGGAGCAGCAGCTGCTCCATGAGTTCTGCAAACAGATGCAGCCCCCTGGAGAGTGAGCCACTCAGACATGGAGCCCAGCAGCCCGAGCCTGAGCTGCTTACCAGCCCCAAGAGATGGCCCACTGGGAGCTTTCCAGAACTAGACAAGACGTTTGTGGATGAATCCGAGCTTACTTCCTCTGTGTAACTTCCACTTCACTGGTCCCTCTGCAGTGGCCCAGTGCTTGCTGAAGAGACTTGTTTTCTTCTTTGAAAATGTTTTTTTTTTTCTTTAAAACTTTTTCTATTGTTTGAGAAAATTCATTGTTTCTTGTATATCTTCTCCCAAAATGCAAATAAAATACTAAGAAAATGAAAAAAAAAAAAGTAAATGAAGAGGGCCCACAGGTGGTATGACAGTTAAGGTGCTGGGCTCTTACATGACTGCAGTTTGAGTCCCAGACCTGGCAACTTGCTTTCTCATTTTCCCTCTGTCTCTCTCTGGTCAAATTTAAAAAATAATAATAAATAAAATGAAATAAATAATTATTCTTAAAAATAAATGAATAAAAATATACAAAGCACCAGCACATGGTAGATACACACCAAGCATAGTAGATACTCAATAAAAGAAACTATCTTTTTTTCAGACTATCACCTATTTTTTATTCACTTATTACCTATTTTATTCCATCTTCTTACAATTAAGTAACTCTGGCAAATTAACTATAAGTGCTTCTACAGTGGGATTTCAAAGTTATTCTATAATGGAATTCTAATCTATTCTTCTTAGCTTCTTTTCTAAGATATCCACAATAGTTTTGGTGCATTTCAGGCATTTTTACTCATGTCTTATTTCCCTAAAGTACATAACATAATACCTTAAAATCTTTGGTAGCAAAAGTAGTCAGAAACAGATGAAAAAAATGTCATTCAGTAATGGAATACTAGTATCCTGACAGGTTAAAGTGTTCTGAGCACAAAGATACTGATGAGGTTATTTAAATAAAAAAGACTGCCGGGGACCAGCCTCGGTGGGGGTGGGTTGGCTTGACAGAGGCGACGATGGAAAGGAAAGAAAGACTAAGGCCCCGTGCCTATTCATGCACGTCCTAAGCCGGACACTCCTCTAAGATCGCTCTCTGAGGAGTGACAACTGCTAGGAATCACCGTGCCTTTTTATTGAAAATGAGATACATGCAAGTAAATGGGAGAGGGGCTACGTGTACTAATGATCAATTCATAATGTTTTAACAATAGAAACCATTCAGGGTTTGATTAAGGGCAAGTCTATTAATCATCAATACAGTTCAACAATAGTTTGATTGATGAAAGCAGTTTCTTGGTAACTTCAAGCAGTGCAGTTTCAGGAAACAGTTCCAGCAAGCAGAGTTAACTATCAACCGATGTTTAGCAGCTTGATGAGGGCGGGCATACAGCCTTTTCAACTGGTGGTGAATTGACTAATAAGTTAATGAAAAACTTTAAAATGGGTTTATGGTGTTGTGGATACACTTGTGTAGCCTATGGCACCACTGTTATGTATTTTGTTAGAACATTAGTTACCATGGGACGAGAGCGTCCTGGGCCAGTTTCGGCCTAGTCCTATTGTACGTGAAAATATTATTTATATTAAATGTGTCTTGAGGGGCCTTCCAAAGATCAGGAAGAACTTTAGCACACCCTTTACTGTGCCCAATGAAGCGTTGTAATTAACAGTAAGTGGTCAGGGTAAAGGGGAGCGGTCGGGGGGACTTTTCGGGAAATCTTACCACACACTCAAAATGTATGAGGGAGCTATGTAATTCTTTTATAGTAGTATATCGGGGAGTCAGAGGGGGGTCATTTCCCAGCAAGGCTATCACAGTCCCGGAGCGAATAGCAGGCGGCCTTGCCAACATGCTAAGTGACCCAAGCTTGTTCCAAGGTCGGGGGGCATACAGTCGCGGCCTTGCCAGCTCACTGAACCGACCCGAAGCGATGCTCAAAGGTCAAGGGGCTCAGACGGGTCCTGGAGCCCCGCCGGGTTGGACTCTTCCAAAAGACTCTAATACTAAAAATGCTAAAACCAAGCAGCTAAAGAGGTTTCTAAAGAAATATTATTGCTTCTTTTTTTTATAAACTGCTCCTTAATATAAATTAAGGACATTTTAGAGTCACATCAAATACTGTCAGTTAAAAAATAAATTAAAATGAGATTGTGTTCTAAAGAAGGAAATTATAAAAATGTGTAGGTGCAGTTTCAGAGGCACACAGAACCAGTTTGGATGGCTAGAGGCTGGATGGGAGGGCCAGATCCAGTTCTGGGTCAGCCTGAACATGCTGGGCACAGTTCTCTGCACTTGCAAGTCTTCTTGGGAAGCAGTAGGATCATGGCACACCAAGACATGTCAAAAATACCTCTCTCTGCTCTCTCCCCTTCTCTTTTTCCCTCCTCTCTCATAATAGGGAGAAAATGTAGATGGTGCTATAATAAAAATCAATTCTTCTGTTAATGATATTGATACTGCATTTCTCTGTTTCTGCTGTTGGGTCCCCAGGGGAAAGGGTGGGGTTAAATTGTGCATCTCTTAAATGTTAGTTTGCAGGGGCCAGCAAATGGTATAATGGTTACTTTGCTGGACTCCAATGTAGCTGACCGCAGCTCGGGTCCCGAGCCCAGCGGCTTCAAACTCACACCAAGTGCATGCATGTGCATGCCCAAGATCCTGGGAAGACAATGGAGGAGAAGAGATTGCAGCATGTCCATCCTCCCCCCTTTACCCCCGGGGGCAAGTTCTCACTTTGTCTTTCTGTATCTCTGGCAAGTGCATGTGCCCTATAGCAAAAATCTATCTTAAAAAAAACAAAAAGCATAAATGTTAGTTTGTATGTCTATTTTCTCAGTACAAATAATGGAAGACCAAATTCTCTTGTTTTTCTCCCAGAGATGATATAGGAATAAATATTCATTGAATAACTCTGAACATTTCCCAAAAACCCAAGCTATATAAATTCAGGATCATTTCATCACATTGCTAGGAAGTAAGCACTTGACTTATATATTAAATAGATGAATGTCCTGTATCATGCGTAATTTCCTAAGTACCAAGAAATATACTTATTGTCATCTTGTTTTTACTCTTAATTTTGGGTTTTTACAGATTCTTTTCCCTAGAGTTTTGCTGTCCCATAGAATAGCTATTACCCACATGTGACTTTTTTTTTTAACTTTTTAGAATTTTGCCATAGAGTACATGTGCTTGCCAAAGAGAGACAGAGAAAGACAGAAAAAGAGAGGGAATGTGAGAAACCATCCCCTAGGGAGGATGGCCACATTGCAGTACCTTCTTCTCCATTCTCGCCTAGTGATTTTGTCATACACACATGCCTGGGGTGTTTTTTAAGACACTAGGTCCAGTACTTGAACTGCAGAGTCAGCCATGTGGGATCCAGCACTCCAATCACCATACCACTCACTGGTCCCACATGTGACTATTTATATTAATAAAACCTTGCTAAAATTAAAAATTCATGGGACCAGTAGATGGCATAATAGTTATGCTGTTGTATCCCCACATGGTTGAACATGGCTCAGGTCCTGGACCAGGAGTATTGAAACTTATGCAGGACCTGTGTGCATACGTGTCCAAAATCCCAAGAGGAGAATGGAAAAGAAGGGATTGTGGCATGGCCATTCCCCCCTAGAGAGGGGTGGTAGTGATGGAGCCGTGATTTCTGGCTTTCTGTCTCTCTGTTTCTCAAGTGAGGGCATGGGCCCTATAGCGAAAAATCTCTCTAAAAATAAAATAATGTAAAATTCAGTCCCTTAATCCTACTAGTCATATTTCAAGTACCATATTTCACATGGGAGAAGTTGCTACCTTGTTGTACAGAGAGAATATATCTGTCATCATAGAAGTTCTGCTGTAGTGCACTGGCCCAGAGGATATTCAGTGACTGCTCCTGTGCTCTATGACCTTAAGCTTCTCACTAATATCATTGTAAGGATTAAATGACCTTGGAAGTTATGGAAGAGTGACTTCATATTCAGGTCAGTGTCAGACTAAGGGAAAGATGGAAGAGAGAGAAAAATTAAGTCAGTGATTAAAAGAAAAGAATGAATGATGGTTTGTGAAAGAATACATGTTGACATTATTATAAAAGGATGAGAAATGATTCAGGAAATCAGTGCTTCAGCAGTATTTTAGTTAAAACATTCATGACATGTGGTTTGCACTAAATGCATCAGTCTCTTGCTGACTTTCTGATGTTTTAATTGAGTTTTCAGATATTCAAGGTAAAACACAAAAATAATTCCTTCGGATTGTGATGTAACTTAACTTACCTTTTGTATACCAATTGCACATGTTTAAACTATATTTCTCTCTCATGGAAGTCAGCAGACGCTGTGGCACTACTTGCAATTCTTGTTCACAACTTTTCTATGTATCTTTACTTAAACCCCTTATACTCACAAGTTTTCATGTTTACCAAAACTTTACTTCTACTGCTTGTATAAAATGGAATTTATCACATGTGTTATTATCCCAAAAAGAAAATAATCTGTGTATGTTTGCATTTAGGTCATTCTGTCCATTGAAGAAGGTTACAGACTTCCAGCTCCCATGGGCTGTCCAGCATCTCTACACCAACTGATGCTCCATTGCTGGCAGAAGGAGAGAAATCACAGACCAAAATTTACTGACATTGTCAGCTTCCTTGACAAACTGATCCGCAATCCCAGTGCCCTTCACACCCTGGTGGAGGACATCCTTGTGTAAGATGCATAATGTTGATTTCTTTACCCCCTTGACAATCATAATTTCTTTCGGTCTACAGACAAGAACAGCAGTGAGAAAGAAAAGAGTGTGCCTTGTAACTGTCTTGTTGACCTTCTATAAACCATATTTTATGTATCAGCTGAAAAGGCAAATTATTAACACTTAAAAATGGATTTTTTTTCCTATAAAATAGGTCCCCCTTCTCTTTTCTCTCTAATCTTTCTCAATAACTTTATACTTTTTCCTCTGTGGGTATTTTCTATTTACATAGCATTTCTTTATTTACTGATGCTTCTTTACCTTTAAAAGTGGAATCTCTGTGTGCGTGCAGCCCCTTTAATTTTCTCGTCCATCCTGTGTTCTGTCCCTCTGTTTGAAATGGCAAGCAAGACAGGGGCAATTTGTGAATCAGCCAGGAGCAAAGA